TTTAAGCAAAAACTAAGGCTGGATTTTCTGGTGGCATTCCGAGTTCGTTGACCTCTGCCTAGTTGTTATATTCTGCTCTTCAAAGTCAAGGGCAATCACTTACGTCATCTATCATTTCATTCACAATTTATACTTTATATCGGACTTGTAAAAAAAAAAAAAAAAAATTCTATTTTTCGTCTGTCTCTCCTTAAACGCACAATTTTCGGTATTTAATTTTTCTTTCATTATTATTACTATTATTATTATTATTATTTTACCAACGGGAAAAAATCGAATCCTGAACGTCGTACCTTTTTCATTATGACTTGACATTGATTATTTGAAATCCACACTACACATATATCGGGAAAAAAAAAAAAAAAACTTTTGTGTCCTTCCTCACACTGAAAAATCAGTTTCCGCGTAATGACGTCATATTTTTCTGCGTCTACGAGGAAAATAAACTCGGTATTAAATTGATATGCATTGTGAAGAACGTATAATTTAAATACCTGAGATACACCTGTACGTTTGTCATGATTCGAATAATTGTCCAAAATTAGCTCACTAGTTTTATTGTGCTTCGCCATATTGTTCTTTCGGGTTTAAATCTTTAAATCAAAATTATTTTTTCATTGTTTTAGACCTATAAAAAAAAAAAAATTAAGGGGGGCGGAGGTTTTCGATACATACCTCATTCATTATGGTGGATTTGCTTTTATATCGCCGACATTACGGCATTTACACAACATTGATGCATACAAAATTTGGCACGCGCTTCTGAATTCATTTTACTTCATTAAAAAAAAAAGAAAACCTAAATATTCACCTTGCGTCTCATTGGCCAATAATTTATTATTATTACAAAAAAAAAAAAAAAAAAAAAATATGGACATGATTTGTCTAGAAAAAAAAAAAAAACAACCTAAATAGGTATTTTGTTGTTTGTTACACTTACCATATTATGATTGAATGATGATTGCGAAGAGTTACGTAAAGGAAACTAACTTGATTGGATTTTTTTTTTTTTTTTTGGTGATTCACTTTCATCTTCATTCTCACCTTAGTGATTTGTTTTTCCGTGAAACCTGGAAAATGTGGGAGTGATTGAATTTCCTTATAGATAGATTTAAACGTTTTTCTTCTTCTTCGTCTTCGGTTAAAACATTGTGTGGGATGTCGCGTAAAAGAAATTGACCGTGGTAATGTTATTTTCCCCCCTTTTTGAGCGAATGAATGAATGAATGAATGAGTGAATGAATAATATTTTAATGCGCTCGCGAAAAATAAAGAAAAATCAATGTAAAAAAAAAAAAAAAAACAATATAAAGGCAACCATGTGCATTTAACACGTGGATATGCATTCGTGGTGATTATTTAAAATCAAGTTCACAGCTTAAAACCGTTAATGCTAATAAAAAAAAAAAAAAAAAATTTCTTTTTTGATCGGCAGTGAACCATGGCCTTTAAATATGGAAGTCACGACTGCGGAAATTATTTACATTATATATATATTTATTTTTTTTTTCGTTCATTTAAACTTGAAGATTCTCCCTCTCTCTCTCTCTCTCTCTCTCTCCATATCTTCGTTAATAATAATTGTATTACGATAATAATACTTTAATTTTTTATTGCCAATTAAAATTTTTTTTTTTTTTTAACGATTAACTGTAATTTGCGATGAAACTGTAAATGATGTGGTTGATGATTTTATGGAAGTAACTTATCCGTGGAAAAAAAAAAGGAAAAAAAAAGGAAAAAATTGAAAGAAAAAGAAGATGGAGCGAGTATTTAAATTTATGAAATTATTTTTTTCTGGAAAAACAAAAACAACAACAACAACCGCGACGACGACGACGACGACGACGACGACAATACGATATTGCATTTGGAATTTGCATTTGCGTGCCTGAAAAGTTTTAGTCGGTGACGAAAACGAATCGAGACAAGGGATAAAAAAGGTTTTTGGTCCGGTGTGTGTGTGTGTGTGTGTGTTGATGACGTCATTGTACAGTCACTATGGTTACAAGCTCTCTCTCTCTCTGAAAATTGCGAAACTCGAATGTAGAATGTAATTTCCCATGTTCAGCTTGCTAAAAGTAGTTGGCATTCGTGTTTTTACACTTTCCCAAGAAGAAAAGAGAGAGAGAGAGAGAGAAATTTTTTTTTTTCCTCTTTCGATTCTCATCTGTTGGGTGATCTCGTTTACTCATAATTTTCTTTCTTATTATCCCCTCTCCGCCCCTCTCTCTCTTTAAAACAAAAAAAAAAAAAAAAAAAAAGGAAAATCGAAATGGAAATCTTCAATGTCGCCATCCATGGACGAATAATTTTTTATTTTATTATTATTATTATTATTACATTTTTTTACGATAAAATTTTAGCATAAATTATTACTATTATTATTATTATTATTGCACATTTCAGATACATCTAAACAAACGATCGATTTTTTCCATTTTTTTAAAGATTTTTCTTGTTTCTTTGCGGATTTCTTGAAAAAATTTGAAGGAATGTGTTAGGCTAAAGTTTTGTGCGTAGGTTCAAATATTATTATTATTATTCGGTTAAGTAATCAAAACTATATTTATTCTATCGTTTGAAAGCGTGTATGAAAATTACAGGGGAAAAAAGAAAAGAAAAGCGAAGAAATTTGATTTGATTTGGATGTCGTAGCATGTAATCTTGTTGCAATCACGAATTAAAAATGGATGCCATTATTTTATTTTAGAATTTACAAAAAAAAAAAAAAAAAAAAATGAAGATGATGTCGTAGTAATATTTACGACAGAAGAAGTAGAAGATGGAGTCGTCGTAAAAAAAAAAAAAAAAAAAAACAGACAAATGGATTCAGGTTTGATTTGAAAGAAAAATTCCTCATTCGACCGGAAATACTCGCTGCGAAAGAATGATGCTTTCAAAACTTACATTATTATTATCATTATTTGTTCTCGGAAAATGAAATTTTTATCGGATGTTTAAATGTATAATAATAATACCTGAAAGGCAGGCGGTGTGGTGTGACGTACCACAGAGTTAATATTAAAACCAGTTATGGAAAATGATAAATCAAAGTCGGATAGATGCATGCGTGTGACTTCTATGACCAAAATTGGTCAAATCGTGCAAAGGGAAAAAAAGAGAGAGGGAGGGGGAGGAGTGGGGGAGAGAGAAAATATAATAATAATAATAATAATAATAACTGAAGGCAAAAGTAAGTGGTGCCGTAACTGAAACACGTTATAGTTGCAATAGAGTTATAGTTTTTTTTTTTTTTTTTTTTTTTTGGTTTTACTTGTCGCCATATTTGTTATCATTAAGGGGAAAAAAAAAACCGGCGATTCTTTAATGAAACCTATTTAAATTATTGCCTAATAATTTTAGTTTCGTAGGTTGGCAATCAATATTTTTTTGTATAATCGAATTCTTTTGTATACTACTGCCCTAAGCGTTTGTTGAATGAAGAATGTTTTATTGACGGTTTTTCCAATCTTTGACCTGAGGTCAAAGAAAAAGGGCGAGTAGTAGCCTGAGTAATAAATCTTAAATTAAAGTTTTTCAAAATTGTTCATGAATTTGAACGGTTTTTTTTTTTTTATTTGTGTGCGGTTCGTAGGTTTTGTGACAAAAAAAGAAAAGGGAAAAAGTGTGTGGGGGGGGGGGAAAGGACACGTATTCGATTAATTTTTATTCTCTTTTTTTTCGACTTTTCCGTTTTCCTCATTTTCATTTTTTCTTCCCCTCCCCCTTTTTTTTTTTTTGAACTTTTACGGTTGATACGCAGTTTGAACTTTGTACTTATCCAAAATGATTGCGACACGTATTTTATTAAGAGTCGATGATGATGATGATGATGATGATGATTATTTTCGTCGACGAAACCATAGACAGATGATCATTAATTTCAGGGATTTAAAGGAGGGGAAGAAGGGGATGGGGTGGGGGAAAAAAACCCGCATTTGAAAATCTTTCGTAAAATTTGAATAAAACACACACGCACATATTTTTTTCTTTTTCTTTTCCTTAAGAATTAAAAAAAGACAGAGTGATGATTGACAGAATGATTCATTTTGATATTAAATCAAGTCTCATGTTTTTGTGACTTTTGGTGACTTTTGTTGATTCTCGGACAAAACGGATGGAAAAAACACGTTTATGACAAAAAAATAAAATAAAATAAAAAAATAAAAAATAAGGAAGTCGGTTCGATGTATTATTATTATTATTATTATTATTATTATTATTATTATTATTATTATTATTATTATTATTATTATTATTATTATTACTATTACTTGTCCTTATTTTTTACTACGACTAATACTATTATTATTATTATTTTTGTTCCCCCCTCCCTCCCTTCGAAGTTGGAAAACTCTGATATTTTCCGATATCCAATGTTTTCTCTCTCTCCATCGGCCTTGGATAAATTGCACTCTTTATCTTTGTTTATACACGGTTTTAAAGTTTTTTTAAAAAGATTACTTTTCCAGATTTGTTTTTTTTTTTTTTTATAAATCGGGTAAATAAGTTTGGAATGGCGCAAGTGGTGGACCACATGCTACGACGTTATATAAAATTGAATAAAAACATGTCTTGAGAGAGAGAGAAATGCGTCATACCTAATTTTTTTTTTTTTTCGTCGTCGTCGTCGTAAAAATGCGCGAAAATTTATCCATGGGAGTCATTTGTTATTTGTTTTTTATCAAATCCGATATAAATAAAAAAGGTGGAAAAACGTAAAAAGGAAAGATGTGCGTGCGTGTGCGTGTGTGTGCGTGCGCACGTGCACGTATGCGTATTTGTAGAAAGGTTATTATTATTTATCGAATTCAAACCTAGATTAAATAAATATGCACACCCTTATCGAATGATAGTTTTTTTTTAATTATATTTTTTTTTTTTACGTAAATTAGTTATTAGTCATAAATTGGTGGTTTACCTTCAGATTAAATATTGCATTAACAACAACAAACAACAAACAACAACAACAAGAAAAAATTTACTTTCTAGTTGCAATGAACAAAAAAAAAAAAAAAAAAAAAAAAAATTGCACGAAACGCACACTCACTCACTCAGCAACTTTTGCACGTCGTAGTATGTAAGCCATTTTACATGCATCGAAGTGAAATGTTGTCCAAAGAGGAAATAAATAAATAAATAAATACATAAATAAATAAATAAATTATTATTATAATCATAACAAACGAGCCTGCTTTACATTTATTTATTTATTTATTTATTGTAACTCGTTTGTTTTGATTTTATTTTTTTTGTTTTGTTCAAAAATTTTGTACGAGAAGGCCTGATATTATTATTATTATTATTATTTTTTATTATATACGAATAACAGTTTGAAATTGTTGGCTTGATGATGATGATAATGATAACGATGTTAATTTAACATTTTTTGCTCCTCATCACACGTGAGAATTAAAGTGTTTGATTTTTTTTTTTTTTTTTTTTTTGTTTCAGCGAGTGGCCAACTCATAAGGACGCAGTATGTTCCCCTCTACGGAAGGCTGGTCGGAGAGGAACAACTGGAAACAATTAGAGAACCAGCCGATATACAGGCCATGCAGGCTAGAATACCTCAACATTTCAGGGATCCCTCTTCGGCACCCCTGAGAAAATTATCAGTGGATTTAATAAAAACGTATAAACACATTAACGAGGTGAGTCGAAAAAAAAAAAAAAACATTTAATCACTTGATGTCGGGCGAAAGGTTTTCGAGAGGTGGTGGTGTGAGTGACTGGGAGAAAAGGTTAGGAAAGGAAGGTGGAAGGGAATCGAATGAAAATTCAAAAATTAAAACGGGTCCTCTGCTCGGAAAGCAGACGAATTGTTGTCGTCGTTTCTTTAACCGTGTTACTACAAAAATCTCTCGTTTTTTTGACAGTATGAAATATGAAAATGGAAACAAATATATTTCGAAATCGCGTTTGTCAGAAAGAATATTATCATTGTTTTATCACACGCGCACACGCACACACGCATATTTACATATTTTTTTTTTTTTTTTACTTAACGGTTCAATAAAAAAGGAGGAAGAAGAATATTATATAGTAAGTAGGCTGATAAAATGGATGGAGACGGGAGGAGGGGAGGAGGAGGAGGAGGAGGAGGTGATCGGGTTCTTGAGAAATAATGAGAGAGCCGATATAATTTGTTCTCTCTACCTACTGCAATTTATTATTATTATTATTATTATTATTAGCATTACTATTATTATAATTATTGGCGAGTTTGATTTCCGCTTTGGAAAATTATAGACTCCGAAGGTAATAAACGATAAATGAAATAAATGTTTTTCGCAAAAATTTCAAGAAGGTTTCCTTTCTTTCGAAAAAAAAAAAAAAGGGAAAAGTTATCAGATTCGCGAAGGATTTATAATTCCATTATTATTATTATTTTTTTTTTTTTTTACAGTCATTTCAATATCAAAAGAATTTTCATGGAATAAATTTTTTTTTTTTTTTTTTTTTTTTTTTTTTTTTTTTTTGGGGGGGTTTAAGGAATGGGTGTGGAGAGAAAAAAAAGTCGAGAGTTTTAACTTTTTTTTTTTCTTTTCCTTCGGAGATTTTCTATTAATAATAATAATAATAATGATAATAATAATAATTAAGGAGAAGAAAAAGCAGAAGAAAACAAATGGATTATTACTTATTTGTAACATCGTTTACATCTGTCAAAAAATTTAAAGTGAGAAAAGTTGGGAAAAATTTTTTTAATTTTTTTTTTTTTTTTTTTGTTTTTTTGTTTTTTTGTTTTTCCTTCCTCCCTTTAAAGAAAGTGGAAAGCGGGGTAGGAGGTAGGGGGTAGGGATAAGGGGGTTACTAAATGAAAAGGAATGAAAGGACACGCGAAAAGGAATTTTTATTATTATTATTTCGCCATAAAGGTTTTTCGCATTTGAATTTTTCATCGAATCGTCGAAAGCAGACGACGTCTTGGATGTTAATTTCGTGGTTTTCTTTATTATCATCATCATCATCATCATCATCATCATCATCATTATTATTATTATTATTATTATTATTATTATTATTATTATTATACATGTCTTGATGTTGTTATCGAGGAGTGAAATTTCTTATAACATATTTTGATCCTTTTTCATTTTTGTCGTCGTCGTCGTTTAAAATATAAACGCCTTTGCTATGTTCTCTTTCTTGTGTTTTCTTTTCGAAAAGAGAGAGAGGGGGGGGGAGTGGGAAGGAAAACGTTATTAATTTTTTGGTCGTCGATCGTGATTTTATTTTATTGTATTTTATTTTTTTTATTATCGTTACGGTTTTTTTTTTTTTTTTATTGAGATTTTATCAAGTTAAAAATTCACACTACATTAAATTACGGCGGGGGGAGAGGCGAGGGTAGGAGGTTAGGGGAGGGGAAGGAATCGAAATGAATCGAATATTTTTGTTTGAAGTGAACCATTAAAAAAAAAAAATGGGTTGTTGTTGGCATGGAATCTAAATATATATATAAATGTTGAGATGATGATTCGAAATGATGGAGAATAAAATAAGAAAAATTATTTTTAGGATGATTTTTTTTTTTTAATGAAGTAATATGTAATTTATTCCGATATCATTATTATCATTATTATTATTATTATTGTTGTTGTTGTTTTTGTCGTCGATTCGAATAGAAAAAAGAAAAAAAAAAATTATTTATTTATTCACCTGGTTTATTTTATTTTTATTCTCTGGTCATTTGGCACGAAAAAGAAAACGTTTACATGCGAAATTTTTTTTTTACGAGATCAGGTATTTAAAACACCTGTCTGAACAATTATAAAGATAAAAAAAATTGTCTGAACAATTATAAAAGGAGATGTTGTGTTGCTGAACTCTATTAAAAAAAAAAAAAAATCTCTAAAAGTCTGAGGGGATTCGAATCGTCATGCTCGCGCCGACAACCGACTGTCGTTTGTTTGTACAAAATAATTTGATTGAATCGGTCATCGCATAAATCAAAAAAAAAAAAAAACGGGAATAACAAGGAGAAGGATGAAAAAGAAGTAAAGCTTGGTAAAAGGAGAGAGAAAGAGAAAGAGACAGAAGGAGAGGGGGAGAGAGAGAAAGAGAAAGAGACAGAAGGAGAGGGGGAGAGAGAGAAAGAGAAAGAGACAGAAGGAGAGGGGGAGAGAGAGAAAGAGAAAGAGACAGAAGGAGAGGGGGAGAGAGAGAGAAATATTTTTTTATGCTTTTAAATAAAATTTAAAATTTATGACTTGAAAAAATATTAAAAATTGAAATGATAAATCAAAAAAAAATAGAAAAAAAAAAAGAAAAAAATTAATAATTTGATGTGCGATAACATAAAAAAAATTATTATTATTATTATTATTATTTTTCGAGGAGAAAATCGCGCGTGCGCAAAAAAAGCAACAGAAATTTGAAAAAGTGGAATAATCAAAAAAGGAGTCGGAAAAACCTTTTGAATCTTATAAGAAGAAATGGATAATGTTAATACCCGAGTGTCATCATCATCATCATCATCATCATCATAAGCTAACTTGAAAATAATAATAATAATAATAATAATAATAATAATAAAATTTCTCGAGTTGTCTCGATCCGTCACCTGTATTGTAAAGTTTTCTTCTGTTTTTTTATTATCGGAGGAGGCGTAAGTACGCAAAAAGAAAAGAAAAAAAGGAAAAAAGGAAAAAGAAAAAGGAAAAAGTCAATCACCATCGAGTCTTTGTTTTATTAACAATGTCGTCATCGTATGGTTCTTCATCTTCGAGAGAGAGAGAGAGAGAGAGAGGTTAATTTTTTTTTTTTTTTAAAGAAATGAGAGAAAATGTATAAAATGTCGCTCGGTGGAAAATTGTTGTTATTGTTGTCGTTTTTTTTTGTTGCAATTTTTATATATTTATATAAATTTATATATATAACGTGAGTCTGTCGGCCAGCCAAATTAGTTTTTGTAAAAGAAAAAACTGCCGGGATTCTTGTTCATTCGAGGGGGGATTGTTGTTGTGTTCGAAGAATCCTCCGGTGGACGACCAAGGCCCACTGATAAAAACATTCGTTTGTGGTTTTTATTCGATGTCATTGAATCGAATCGAATTTTTTTTTTTTTTTTTTTTTAATTTTAAAGCTTTACGTGGGAGATGTTGGAATAAAAGAATTTTAACGCATCCAAAAAGCTATTTTGAATTCCACACGCACGCACATATATTTTGGCGTGAAAAACGTCGCGTTTATTGTGTATTAGGGGGGAGGGGGAGGGAAAATTAATTATTGAACTCAGGGTCAATTTGTGAAAACGCCACGACAGCGGCGAAAGCGAATCGGAAATAGAAAAAAAAAAAAAAGAAATTTTTCAACGGATTTTTTAACGATTGTTTTTATTATTATTATTATTTAAATTTTGTTTGTTTGTTTGTTTGTTTCTGTTTCGTTCGTTAGTTCGTAAGGTGAATGAAATGTTTCCTCTCTCTCTCTTTTTTTTTTTTACCGTCGACAATTTTTTTAAAATTTAAGGTTCCTATGTAAGGTTTAAGAGAAATTTGGTTTTTTTTGGGGGGGAGGAGGGGAGGTTGGAGGGGAAACCTAGGAAAGCAATAATAATAATAATAATAGTTGTTTTTATTATTGTCATTATTATTATTATTGTTCTGAATGTAGCAGCGTGCTGTTGAGACAGAGGGAGATGGCCGGCCAATTCTGAATTTGTCTTCCTTTGAATAAATTTTACGTTAAAAAAAAAAAAAAGGAAAATAAGGAATGGGTAGGGGTAGGGGTAGGGATTCAGGGGGTTACGAGGGGGGTGGGGGTAGAAAAAAAAATTGTAGGAAAGCATTAACAGTATTTTACAAGAGCACACATGGAACAAATAGTTGGTGCATTTTATTACAAAGGTTAAATTAGATTAAAGGAGAATGGGAAATGGAAAATTTTTTTCTCTCTCTCTCTCCTGGAGAAATCAGTGCCACGAGCGCATCCACAAAGAAAGAATAATAATAATAATAATAATAATAATAATAATAATAATAATAATAATAATAATAATAATAATAATAATAATAATAATAATAATAATAAGGCACCCTGAAATTAGGATTGTCTCTCTCTCTCTATCTCTCTCTCTTATTTATTTTTACGCATATATCCATTTTTTTTTTTTTATTATTTATTTTTAATGATAAGAGGAAACTATTATTTAATTTCCTGTTTGCCCTCCCTTCCTCCCCTCCCCCAAAAAAAAAGAAAAAGAAAACAAAAGTAAGAAATAAAGAAAAAACATGGTTTGCATTACCGTGTAAACAAATCGAATGAGTTTTTTATGTTTTGATAAAAACATAAATATTTTGTTTTTTTTTTATTCTAGAAAAACATAATTCTAATGTTTTTTTTGTTGGCGAAGGTTTTTTTTTTTTTTTTTTGAATAATCGGTAAAGGCAATGACTTTTAAAAAAAAAAACAGGAAAAGAAATAAGAAATGATAGATAGTCGTTGTTAATATTGATAACGTTGATTAAAGGAACGCCGCGGTATCATCGTAAACAAGAGAACAAAACAAAACGTGATAAAAACATGGCAACCCCCTTTGGTTTGTTTTGTTTTGTTTTTTTATAATGACGAAATTATTATTATCACTGCGATTATTTTTTCTTTTTGATTTCCGAAGGACTGCAGAATTTTTTTGCAAAGTTATTTTGTTATTCAAAAACGGAAGGAGGACGTGGTTGAGAGGAAAAACTGTATTTCCGGTTGATGTCTGTCGATGAAAAATCAACAGAGTGGGGGAGGAAGGGGACAAAAAGTAGAAAAAATTTCACGTGCGAATAGTAAAGATGAAAAGAAAAGAAAAGGGGAAAAAAAAAAAAAAAAAATTAGAAAGCAAATAAAAGTTGAAACGAATTAGAGAGGAAGGAAGGATGGAGGGGGAGAGGGAGGGGAGGGGATTAATCGAAACGCCAGGTTTAATTTTCAGCGGTTTGGATAAATTCCAAAAAAAAAAAAAAAAAAAAGAAAAGGGGGAAAACGAAAGTTCCCGCGAAACGTAATGAATGTCTTTTTCTTTTTTACCGGGAAAATTTTTTATTTTTATTTTTATTTCTTTTTTCTTTTTGTGTGTGCGTGTGCGTGTGTGTGTGTGGAAATTGCAAGAGTCAGGTATGTGAGGTAAATCTCGATTGAAGAAAAAAACTCTTTGCGGAATTTTGTAGGAGGGGGGGGGGGAATTTTCTTTTTCTTACGAACGGTGTAAAACGGTTGCATAGATTTTTTTCTCTCTCTCTATCTCTCTCTAAATAAGGTGTTGTTGTTGTTGTTTTAAGGTCAACCAGATTCGCGGTGAGATATAATAGAAAAAGGAAAATGATAAATGGGTTGTGTGTGTGCGTGCGTGTGCGTGTGTGTTGTTCAAACCTCAAAGGAAGATAACGAACGATATGTATATCGTTTTGATTTTTCCTTTTTTTTTTTTTGTTATTGATTGCGGTTGATTATGGTAGGACGAGAGAGAGATATATGCAAAAAGACATAAACAAGTGATGATGATAATAATAGACCAACCGCAATTGGCATGACGTTATTGTTCAATAATGGCGATTCCTTTTTTTTTGGGGGGTTAAACTTTGATTTCGGTATCGTAAATGTAATAAAAAGAAAAAGAAAGAATGAAGAGGTTTTGATTTTTCTTTTTGTACCTGTTACGTAATAAAACGGTTGATAAATTATTGAGTTGATGAAATCATGTGAAAGTTGACAGTTGTGATGATGATGATGATGATGATATTAAAGATTAAATGGCGATGGGAAATGTTTTTCTTTAAGAAAAGTAAAGATATAGTCGCGGATAGATAGACGCATGGATAGTTAGTCGGGAGAGAGAGAGAGAGAGAGGGGGGTAGGAAACGATGACATAAAGGAAGTTGTTGTCCCAATGTTGTAAATCGTATTTTGTAATTGTAATTGGGTAAATCCGGGTACCTTAAGGCACGTTAAGGTTCGAAACGGTGAAATCAAAAATGTTGAGCTTTTGTCATCGAGAAGACACGATCGAGGTTTTCGGTCTTGTAAGATTTGATGAATATGACGACTAGTTGGAGAATCGTGTGCGTGCGTGCGTGCACGTGTGCGTATACGTGTGCATATACGTGTGTATATACGTGTGCGTGTGCGTGTGTCTTGTCACCGGTCAACATTTAGGCCAATTTTTTACGATCGTAATGACTTGACAGTAAGATGAAGAACTCTTCGTACCATGACGGTTTTTTTTTTTTCTTTTTTCTTTTTCCTTCATTGCTTTTGTTTCGGTTTGTTTTTTTTTCTCTCTTTCTTTTTTTTTTCTTCTTCTTCTTCTTCTTCTTTTTTTTGTTTTTCTAATATCCGAGAAAAAATATAAAAAAAATAATAATAATAAGAGAAGGATAAAATTCTAAAAAATATTTCGCCCGTAACTTTTTCCTTTTCTCTCTCTTTCTCTCCTTCTCTTTCTCTTTCTACCTCCCCAAAGACTTTCTGTTTTTTTTTCCTTCTCTTATACTTTAAATAAATTCAAATTCACCTCTGGAAAATCTTTATTATCCCATATTGTGGATTTTTTTTTTACAAAGCTGGTCACGCTTTGATGATGAGTTTCTAAAACCGGATTTCGAAAGAAAAGATTAGGACAAAGAACGTCACTCTTGAATATTTACTCCTCATCATTGACTTTTCCCGCGAGCATCATCATCATCATCATCATCATCATCGTTTTTAGGTTATTTAAAGAAAAAGTTGAGTTTGCAGGGGTGCGATGAAATCTCTGCAGATTTGATTGATTGATTGATTGTTTTTAATTTTTTTTTTTCTTTTTTCCTCCTGCAGGTTTATTATGCGAAAAAGAAAAGAAGAGCGCAGCAGACACAAGGAGAAGATACCTCCCACAAAAAAGAGCGTAAAATATTTAACGAAGGCTACGATGATGATAATCACGATTACATCATCAAAAATGGCGAAAAATTTTTAGATCGTTACGAAATAGATAATCTAATAGGAAAAGGATCTTTCGGACAGGTATTATTATTATATTTTAAATAAATAAATAATTAAAAATTCATCGATGGGGTTGGTGATTGTTGTGTTTGTTCTTTTGATTTCGTACAAAAACAAAACAAAACGACAAAATAATAATAACAAAATCTAATGACACGATTTTTTTTATTGTTTTTGTTTTTGTTTTTCAATCGTCACCCCATTTGTATCCGGTCACAAAAAAATAATGATGATGTATATAATTTTTTGTTGTTGTTTGTTGTTTGTTTTTTAATTCGATTGTTTCGATTGTTTCAGGTCGTGAAGGCATACGATCACGAAGAACAGTGCCAGGTGGCAATTAAAATAATAAAAAATAAAAAACCTTTTTTAAATCAAGCTCAAATAGAAGTTAAATTATTGGAAATGATGAACCGCGCAGATGCGGATAATAAATATTTCATAGGTTGGTATTCCGTCTGGAATTATTTTTTTTCTCTCTCTCTCTCTCTCTCTGTCTCTGGAAAGATTGGCAGCTCTCTTCGATTTTTGTCACGATTTTTTTTTTTTTTTTCTCCCAAACGTTCCGATTAAAAATTTGTAATCGATTTTTTTTTTTTTTTTTGCATAAAATAATAATGATAATGATAATGGTAATGAAAATGTTAAACAGACGATGAGGGGGCGTGGGAGGGGAGGAAGAAAAGCAGGAAAAGTCTTTTAAAAAATATTTTTCTGATAATAATGATACAATTCGTTGCGAAAGTGTTTGTTTTACTTTAATAAAAAAAAATATTTTGTCGCACTTTTGACAAAAAAAAAAAAAAAAAGAAAAGTTTGGCAACAACAACAACAACAACAATCGAGAAACGTAATTATTATTATTATTTTCTTTCCTTTTTTTTCGTTATGATTTGTTTCGGTTTTTTTTTAATAAAAAAATGTTAGGAAATTTTTTTTTAAAAAAAAAAAATTGTTTTGACACAAGTCAAGTACTTTGTAAAATTTACAAATGATGATTTTTTATAAAATTAAAAAAAAATTTAAACAAAAATTTTTTAAACATTTAATACATTTAAAAAAAAAAAAAAAATCTCGTCTGGCCGTCTGTCTGGTCGTTGACTTGTTTTTTTTTTTTATTCCATCGTCTGCTTAATTGAAATAAGGAAGAAGAAAAGAAAAACATTTTTTAATATCATCATTATCATTACAATATTGATATACGAGGTGTAAATAAATAAGTAAGCATAGAGTATGAAAACCAAAGAGAAAAAAAGTTAAAATTTAACGGGAAGGGAATGGTAATAATAATAATACTTTTTGTTTGTTTTGTTTACAGTGAGATTAAAAAGACATTTTATGTGGAGGAATCACTTGTGCCTAGTATTCGAGTTGTTATCATATAATTTATACGATCTGTTGCGGAATACGAATTTTCGGGGCGTGTCCCTCAATTTAACGCGGAAATTCGCTCAGCAATTGTGTACGGCTCTCCTGTTTTTATCAACTCCCGAACTCAATATCATACACTGTGATTTAAAACCTGAAAATATACTTTTGTGCAACCCGAAAAGATCGGCTATCAAAATTGTTGATTTTGGAAGTTCGTGTCAGTTGGGACAAAGGGTGAGTAGTAGTAGTTGAAGGAAATGATAATGATGATGATGATGATGATGATGCCGACGGTTTTCCGTATGTTTTAACCAATTGGCGGCATCGTCGATCGATTATTGAAATCGTAATTTCACAAAACAAAAGAAAATTAACGGAAAAACGGGAAAAAAAAAAGATGCAATTTAAACGTAAATAACTTTGATCTATTATAAGCTCACAAGTTTGCCTTGAAGAATTCGAATCTATTTTTAAATAAAAAAATTTTTTTTTTTTCTATTTTTTTCTATTTTTTTGTTTTTTTTTTTTTTTTTTTTTTCCGGCGTATTAAATGTCCCAATGTTTGAGTTCATAAAAAAAAATCTTTTGTTATGATTTTTGTTATGATTTTTTGTTATGATTGTTTCTCTACTTCCATCTTTAAAAAAAACGGTTGGAAAAAAAATATCAAAACTTCCGGTTCCGGTTTTTTTAAATAAAATTATTTAAAAATTTAATAAATTTTTCATCGATGATGATAATTATTATTATTATTAACATGTGTTTTTTTTTCTCTCTCTCGTTTTAGATATATCAATATATTCAGTCGAGGTTTTATAGGTCTCCGGAGGTTTTGTTAGGTATACCTTACGATTTAGCTATAGATATGTGGAGTTTAGGTTGCATTTTAGTCGAGATGCACACGGGGGAGCCGTTATTTAGCGGAACCAACGAGGTATGTAATCTTTTTCTCTCTCTCTCTCTCTCTCTCTTCTCTCTTCCTCTCTCTCTCTTTTTTTTTTTTTTGATCGATAATAATTATTCTCGTTCGTCATCGGTTTGTTCATCCGCAGGTGGATCAAATGAATAAGATAATAGAAGTTTTGGGTATGCCACCCAAACACATATTAGATCAAGCTCATAAAGCAAGAAAATATTTCGATAAGCTACCCTCAGACGGAAGCTACGTATTAAAACGGCCAAAAGATGGTAAAAAATACAGGAGTCCTGGAACGAGGAGATTGCACGATATATTAGGTATTGTGTGTGGGGTGTGGAGTGTGTGGGGGTGTATGGAGTGTGGAGTGTGTGGGGGATGTCAATAGGTCGATCGGTCGATCGGTCGGCCTTTCCTTTCCTCCTAACGAACTCGCATTTGATTCGTGATGACTTTTTCTTCCAGGCGTCGACAGCGGAGGACCTGGTGGAAGAAGATTGGGTGAACCCGGTCACACGGTCGCGGATTATTTAAAATTCAAAGACTTAATATTGAGAATGTTGGACTTTGATCCGAAAACGAGAGTCACTCCCTATTACGCTCTTCAGCAAAATTTTTTCAAAAGGACTAGTGACGAAGGTTAGCGCCTCCGGGAAAAACTTTAAATTTTCGGGAGTGGGGGGAGGGGTGGGGAAATTTAAACGAATTCTATACGTTTATTTATTCTTTTCCAGGGACTAACACCGCGAATAAAAGCGGGAGAGTGAGCACGAGTCCCGCAGTTAGCGGATTAGTTGACAATATCAGAGGATCTCCTTCCAGCTCAGCCAGTAAGTTATTAAATTAATTATTTATAAAAAAAAAAACAAAAAAAACTTTTCCAGTAAAAATTGAAAAAAATGGAGAGAGAAAAAAAGCTGCTTTGCTTTTGCTTTGTGAGTTTTTTTAATCAACTAAATTTTTTTTTTTTTTTTGATGATTTGCATTATTATTATTTTTTATAATTTAATAAACTAAATTTAATTTGAAAAAATCTCTTAATAATAATAATAATAATGAAAGTTTTGTCGTTTTCATTCAAAAGAAAAGTACAAGTTATTAAACACAAACAAACAAAAACACCTTCCACGGTTTTTTTTTTTTTTTTAATTCTTATTGTCAAATTCTTGTTGTTTATTTATTCTATGACTTTATTTATATGGCGACGATAATTTTTTTATTTATTTATTTAATTAATTAAAATTCATTTATTCATCATTTTGAATTTAAAAAAAAAAAAAATGTTAATGAGATGCTGCATATTTATTTATATGTGGGGAGAAAAGGAAAAGTTGTGAAGGAGAAAAAAAATTTTTTTTTTTTTTCACCCCCTCCCCTCCTCCGCCACGCCACGCTCCCCACCCACGCCCCCCCCCCAATTTCTTTCGCTTTCTCTTACTTTTTACTTTTTTTTTTTTGTAAAAAAAAAAAAAAAAAAAAAAAAAAAACTTTAAATGATTAATTTTCGGCAGATGTGTACCCAAACGCGTACCTCGCTCGATGACACATATATAGGAGGGGAAATGCAGTTCCCCGGCCTAATTCTCGCTCAGGACCACCTCAAGCCCCCTCTTAAAAGCTAGTAAGTAAAATTATTTACTTATTTATTTTATTAATTTATTTATTTATTAATTAATAACTTTATGAAATGCGTTGAATTTGATGTAATAAAAACCATTGATTTGAATTTTGTCATGTTTTTTTTTTTTTTTTTTCTTTTCGAATTTTAGGTTCATTGATAAAATGATAATGATGATGATTTGTATTTAATTATTTTCAGGTCTGGGAAGCAACCGAGCTCTTTCTGATTCGATTTTGCAGCTGCAAAACTCGGCACTCACGTCGGGGACGACAGTTGGAAGCTGCATCGGTCCTCAGTTAATGGACTGCGATTATTAGCATCCATCATCGGACTCCCTTGCTAAGCCGGCATCAGCAGCATCAGCAGCAGCAGCAGCAACAGCAACAGCAACAATAACAGCATCATTATAATTATTATGATCATCATTATAATCATCATCATCATCATAACATTGCAGTACGCTGTACGATTTGACAAAATCTCCCATGGGAGATGAATGACCCACCACGATTAAATTGATTTATCGATCGATCGATCGATCCATTGATCGATTTCGAGAGTGAGAGAGAGAGAGATAGAGAGAGAGAAAAGGACAAAAGGGTTTTCGATCAGAGAAAACTCTCAAAGATTTATTAACGTAATTTTTTTTTATTTAGCCCGCGCGATTTGAGCTTCGGACGGTCATCTTTGAAAAAGTTTTTCCCATCCTCTCGTACGTACAGGGCAGCTAAAGTTGACGAAAAGAGTATAAAGAGTACGAAAAGAAGAGAGGAAAGGGAAGTAGAAAAAAAAAAAAAGAAAAAAAAAAACGTCCCAAGCTCGCGGTAAAAAAATAAAAGTAACGAAAAATAATAATAATAATGATAATGATAATAATAATAACGAATAGGACAATTTGTAATATTTAGTTGTATATGTTGTAAAAGAAGTTAAAATGTCTGCCTCGTTTTTTTTTTTTTTTTTTTTTTTTTTTTCTGACACCACGTCGTCGTGTTTTAGTTAATTTTTTCCTCTTTTTTTTTTTTTTTTTTTTAACTTTTTCTTTTCTTTTCTTTTATTTTATTTTCCCTGTACTTTAGTCTTGATAAAGAAAGAAAGAAAGAAAGAAAGAGAGAAAAGGAAGGAAGAAGAAGAAAAAACTGTAGCACAAATTTTTATTATTTGTATTTTTATAAAATTTATTTTAAATTTATTTTAAATTCGCATTAATAATTGAATTAAATGAAATTTGTTTTTTAGATTTATTAAAAAAAAAAAAAAAACCAAAAAAAAAAAAAAAGATCGTGTAATTAGATCATTAGAGACTATACGGATAGTCATAATAATAATAATTATTATTATTTTATTAAATCGACTTATTAGTTCGTATTATTACGTATTGTTTGTTTTATTATTATTATTGTTATTATTATTAGTATTGTCATCATCATTTGTAGTTTTTCGTCTTTTTTTTTTTTTGGTTTTTTTTTTTTGTACGAATTGACACGATAAAATAATAATAATAATGATATTGTTCGAGTTAACATTCTAAATTATAACATCGTTTTAAAGGATTTACATTTGTCTTCTGCCACTTCGAAGATCATCAAATTAATTAATTAATTAATTAATTAATAATTAAATCCATCACGTTTAAAAATTATTTATATTCGCGGGAAAAAAGGAAAACTGGGAGGGGGGGGGGAATGTTTCAGCAAAATTTGGACAAAAAAAAAAAAAAAGAAAAATTTCGATTAGACATTTGATTGTGGGTTTTAAATTTTGAAATTTAAAATTTCGTCGTTAAATAAAAAATGGCTTACTTATAAATAAATTACATAATGTATATTAATTATTAAAGTTTAAAAAATAATAATAATAATAATAATAATAATTTTTTAATGAACTATTGAGCAGAGAAATCGAATACGGAGATGGGAAAACAAAAATGATAGGAGGAAAAAAATAAATAAATGTTTAATAAAGATTTGTTGTTGTTATTATTATTATTATTATTATTATTATTAATATTTTTATTTTTATTAATTATAACGGTTGGAAATTGTCGGGGTTTCTAATGTCGATGTGCATACAAAAAAAAAAAAAAATTCAATTCAATTCACAATAAAATAAACAGGTACAGACGCTTATATTATAGTACAACAACTTTTAATAATAAAGTTTAATTGTTTATATATATATGTATTAAATTCACGCACGTACGCACTCACGCACGCACTAGCGCATTAATACGCACGCGTACACGTATACATTTGTGTAAAAAAAATTATTATTATTATTACTTTTTTTCCTTTTCCTTTTGGTTTTTTTTTTTTTTTTATTCCATATATATAACACACACGTTTTTGGAAATGCGATTTGTTTTTTTTTTTAATGTGCGTGTGAGCGTGTGTGCACGTGCGTGCGTGCGTGCGTGCGTGTACGCGTGTGCATATGAATTAAGAAAAAAAAAATTATTATCCGTCCTCACAATGTGCATCTTAATAAATAAATAAATAATTTAATTCGTTAGTTAATAAGAGTAAATTGCCATTTTTATTTATCGTGTGCTAATCATAGATTATAATTAATTACTTAATTAATTAATTATCGCGTATAAAATAAATAAATAAATTTTGATACATTAAAAAGGGAGAGGGAGGGGGGAGGAAAAACAAAAAAAAAAAATTGTCTGAATTTGCTGAAATAATAATAATTACACGTGAGAAGAAGAAAAAAAGAAAAAGAAAAAAAAAGGAAAATTGTATTGATATTAATAATAATGATGATGATGATGTTGATCGTTATGATGATGATGATGATAATAATAATAATAATAATAATAATAATAATAATAATAATAACAATAATGATAAAAATTTACTTTAAAAAAAAACAAAAACAAAAGTTATTTATTAATAATAAGAAGAAAAAAAAAGAAAAAAATTATTTATTTATCGTTATCATCATCATCATCATCATTATCATTCTCATCATCATCATTATCATTATCATCATTATCATAATAATTATTATTATTATTATCGTTGAAACCGTTATTACGAAACGATGTTCTTTTGTTGTTTTTCAACGCGGGGAACTTTGGGGGGGGGAGGAAGGATTTCACCGCAAATAAAAGGGTAAAAAGACTGACCAAGTCGATGTCACATGATTAATAATTACGTAATGAGGGGTGAAAATAATAATAATAATAATAATAAATGAAATAAAATAAACAGACGAAATGATAATAGTAATAATAATAATGAGAAGAAGAAGAAGAAGGAGAAGGTAACTATCGATATTATTAACAAGAAAAAAAATAATAATAATAATAATAATCTCACAAATGAATTATTAATTGTATTAAGCGTAAATTTTAATTGTTTATAAAAAGAAAATGTTTAAATAAATTAATTATAAACAAAATAATAAATAAATATAAAAAGGTAGACTTGCCTTAATCATTAATAACGAGGCAAATGAGACACGCGATAACAGGTAGAAAGACGGTTATTAATTACCATCATCATCATCATAATAATCATTTGTTTAAAATTTATTCGGCGTATTAATAATAATAATAATAATAAATTAATAATTTTTTAAGTTATTTATTTATCTCATTATTATTATTATTATTATTATTCGTTGTTTTTTTTTCTTTTGCGGAAGTGAAAGGTTATATGGAGGTGGTGGCTGAGGTTGTAACTTAGATGAAGGGAAAAAAAAAAAAGTTCGTTTATTATTTGCAAGGTTTTATTATTATTATTATTATTATTATTATTATTATTATTATTATTATTATTATTAATTATGTGTAACAACGGTAATTAATTATAATCTATGAAAAATTCATTATTATTATTATTATTAGGTATAAGTGAATCTTTTTTTTTTTTGCCTTCCTTCTTCTTTGCTACAGTTCATAGATCAATGATGAAAATAAATTTTTAGTAATTAATATTTCGATAGTTGTTGTTTGTTTGTTTGTTTGTTTTCATTTCGTTTGACAACAAAAACAACATCACGCGCAATTTTTTTTTGAAATGGGAGGAAGGGGGGAAAGAAGAAGAAGAAAAAGAAGAGGATTCATATTTTTTAAGTTGGGATAAGAATTTATTTTTAACGATTCGAATTATTATTATTATTATTAATATTATTATTATTATTAATATTATTATTATTATTTTGCTCGTTTCGTGATGGAGAATGAGAGTGCCATGGATAAAATGAGAAGAAGAAAAAAAAAATTTTTTTTTTTTCGATAAACAAATCGCGTGTCGTTCATTTTTCGAATAATGATAATGATGATGATGATGATGACGTAACGATGATGATGATGATGATAACGATTAAAATTATGATTATAATGATCGCGTTGATTAATAATAATAATAATTATAAATGATATAAATAACGTGTAAATATTGTAACAATAATAATTAATAATAATGATAATGATACTGATAATGATAATAATAATAATAACGTTACTATTTTATTTTGTAATGATTTAAAAAAAAAAAAAAAAAAAATGTGTTCATAGAGAGAGAGAGAGAGAGAGAGAGAGAAAATAATTTTTTCTTTTTTCATTAATGCATAAAAATAAAAATAAAAAAAGGAGAGAAGACGCCATTTTGTTTAAATGAGTGTAAATCCGTTTTTCTCCTTTCTTCTTTTTTTTTTTTCTTTTTTTTGTTTTGTACGTAATTTATTATTATTATTATTATTATTATTATTATTATTATTACTATTACTATCACTATCATTATTTAAAGTTTTATTTAAATAATTTTCACTTTATTTAATTAGTTAATAAATGTAAAAAAAAAAAAAAATGAAAAAAAATGAAAAAGGAGAATGTTAATGATGATGATGATGATGATGAAAGTTGAATAATTATTCGTGGTGGGAATTTGGGGAAAATGTAAAATTATTTTAACGTTTTTATCATTATCATTATTATTATTATTATTATTATTATTATTATTATCCTCTACTATTTTTTTTTCTTTTTTCTTTTATTTTCTTTGTAAATTTTTTTGTAGATGTAAGTACATTATTATTGAGTAAGAATTATAACGATGTTAATTATGACGATGATTGATTGCGATGATAATAATAATGATAATAAAACGATGACGTTAACTATGACGACGACGACGAGGACAATTTCATTTTATTTTATTTTATTATTTTAAAAAAAAAATTTTAATAAAAAAAAAAAAAAAAAGGAGAAAAAAAGGAAATAAAAAAAAATATATTTAAAAATTTAAATAAATAACATAAAAATTATTAATAATAATAATAATAATGTTTTTTAAAAAAAAAAAGAAAAAAAGAAAATTTTTTTTGTTTTCCTTTCACGTAATTGATATTTACGCCATTTTTCGCGCTTCCTTATTATTGTTTATTTACTTTTTGTTGTTGTTGTTGATCCGATCGTTTCTCCCCCTATCGTTCACCGCCTTCCATGAATAAATTTGTTACGAGTTGGCAACAGCGCGATGCGTTCGTTAAACGAGTAGAAAGTTATTCGTTTGTGTGTTTATTCATTTATTTATTTATTTATTACGGTCTGTCGTTATCGTTACGGTTCACGCGTTCAACGTTCGTGATAAATGAATCACACGTGGAAATGACGAACGTGATCAAAATCACTTGAGCGATATATTTATTAAATTGCGGGGGAAAAAAAAAAAAAAAAAAATATTTCGAACGCATTGAATGAAATTTTGATGACGTCATGAAATTTTCAAAAAAAAAAAAAAAAAACGGTTTCAATGTAAAATGGATGCCTGCGTGCGTTTTTCGTTTTTTTTTTTTTTCAATCAATCACATTCCATAATTTAAGGTTTGTAAACAACGTTTTATAAATGATTAAAAACTATTTATAAAAAATATTTCTTCCGTTATAAATTTTCCAGAGGTTTTTTCTTATAATAAAATGAAAAACCCGAATCAAGGTGAATAACGGAGTAATTATGTAAAATC